GATGCGAGGAGGGACCCCACGCGAGGCGGGCTGCGTGCTGACTCGCGCGGGCGCGCGCGCCCGCTCCCCCGCCCGGCCGCGGAGCTCGAGGGGCTGCGCCCGGGGGGCTCCGCAGGCGCGAAGGCTGGCGGCGCGGACGGGCGGGCTGGGAAGCGGTGTGCGTCCGTCTGCAGCCTCGCACCCCACGTCCCCAGGGCGAGGCGGCGGCGCAGGCGCCCAGCTCAGACGCGCGGGGGCGGGGAGCGGGAGCTGGACCCCGCGAGGCGCGCGGGGGTCGGGGGATGCAAGCCCGGGGCTTCCCAGCGGAGCCCGGAGACGCTCTGGGAACTACGGCCTTCTGGTTTTTGTGCTGACTTAAAAGCTTCTGGGCTGGTTTGATCTGGCAAATACACTTGATGTATCTGGGCGCCGGGCACCGTGAAGCAGCCGGGAACCTCCTGGGTGGACTTGCGGAGCTGTTAGCCCTGCGCAGACCCGCCGCCTTCCTGGGTCCCTTCTTTCCTGCTTTACTGTCTCCGCTTGCGATGAGAGCAGAGGGGGGAGGGTGTTCCCAAGGACTGATTTTCAGGCAGCTCTTGGTTACTGGTTCACTCTTAGGCTTTGAAATTTAAAAAGTAGGAAACGTTGATTTAAAAGATCTTGAATCACCTGTTTTCTTTCATAAATACTACCCCTGACTTTTTTTTCTTAACGTGGTAGAAACCTTTTCTCATGTGAATACGTGGGAAGTCAGCACATCGGACAAGGGAGTATACCGGTGGGGCAGTGGTGAGGTGGGGCAGGGTCTGAGCCCCCAAGGGGCCTCCCCTGGTCTCCCCCACGTTCCCAGGGTGACTGAAACGCAGGTTTTAAAATTTGATGTAGAAGGTTGAAGACTGAATACACTCCCTTGAGTTAGTAGGGAAAAAATGAAAACAACGCAAAGAAGCAAAGTAGGGAATGCTGTTCTCCCTGGGGTCCAAATGCTGCCGTGAGGGGCCCAGGCGGGAGGCTGGGATCCACAGCGCCCTGCCAGCCCCAAGACCTCGTGCTGTGGCAAAGGTTCCCTGAGCTTCAGTTTTCTCGTCTGTAAGATAAATGTAGTTTCTTATGCTGTAAAATAGTTTCCCCCCTGTCATTGTAGGCCTTAAATACAGAAAAGTCTGAAAGAACTTGACACGTAGGAAACTCTGAACTGGTAGATATTATAGCAAGGATTCCAGACATAGTTCATCAGCAAGTGATTTGGTCAGATCCAGCCACTCCAGGTTTGACCTTCAGGGCATACGAAGGCAGGACAGACCGACGATGAGTGTCCCAGTGAAAGCCAGGTGGCTTTTTCTGGTTCTGAGTGACCCGCTGGGTTCCATCTGGACAACCCTCCTCCTGGGTCCAGTGTGGCGAGTAAGTGGGGAGCTGGTGGTTGTGAGGGCCTTCTTTCCCCAGGAGCAGAGCAGCCGGGGGACAGAAGAGTCTGTCGTGGGCCCCACACAGGGGCCAGGGATAAATGCAGCCTTTTATGTGAATCATCCCAGTGGCAGAGCCACGTAGACAAGGTACTGAAAACAACTTGCTGTGAATTGTATTGAATCAGTAATGGTGGCAATAATGGTGTGTGGAAAGAATGTGGCCTGTCTTGTTTGAGTGGGAGGCCTTGAGCACCAGAGGCTGATAGGAGTGGGTGGCGGCTCCATGGTAGGGCTGGGGGCCTGTCCTCCAGCCTCTTGGGTGCCCAGCCAGGCAGGCAGCCATGCTGTGGCAGGGGAGGTGAGCACTCCCTGGCTTCCCCGTGGAGCCAGGAGCACACTCCCCTTTGCGGTTGCTCTGCTGGGACTTTGGGGACATTACTGCTGATCTTGGTGAGAGCACAGTGGGCCTTGGGGAGCTAACAGGATCAGAGTCAGACCCGGGCATCCTGCACGGCCTGATGACTGAAGTCTCACGGAGTGAGGGCACCAAGGCAGGGACCAGACCAGAGGGACCAGGACTCCAGCTGGGAGCCGTGGGCAGACACCCCTCCTCACTGCTTCGCTGTAGGTGCCTCTTTGGGAGGGAGGCAAGGCTGAGCATGAACCCACGGAGTCTAAACCTGAAATGATGGAAAAAACAGGGAATTGAGCAAATCTGTCTGCAAAGAACCAGATTAAACTGTTACATCAGACACAGTAAGCAGGCAATCAAAATTAAGTTTAGTTAAAAAAAACCCTACAATTTTGCACATCTGAGTGGTGTGAAATAGAACTCAGATATTGGATCCATTAGAGAAACTGTGGATGATTTGTTTCAACAAAGTGAAAACATTCCCTGGAATGGCCCAAAACAGCCTGTGAGGGGTGAGGGGACCCGGGAGAGGAGAAGCAAGAGCCGACGTCCACCCTGGGGCTGCTCTGCGGCCCCAGGAAGAGGTGGGGCTGGCTGTGGAGGTGACAGAGTGAGGGTCTGGAGTAAACCAGGGGGGTGGGTTAGAATGGGCCCCGTCACTGAACAAAATCTCTCAGTTCCGCCCCCTCGGGACTTCCATGATCTGCCAGTCTGGCATCTTACTGGAACGACGCTTAAATCTCAGCCTGGTGCAGCAGCAGCAGGTTTCCCTCCCCAGACCTGTTCTCTAGGGAGTCTTTAGAAGGTGAAGGGGCTTTTGAGACCAGGGTTGGTGGGGGGTCATGGAGGCTCTGCCTGGCTTACGGCACATGGTTGACAGTGGTTTTAAAAATCTGAATATTTCTGTGAGACAGAAGGAAGCACAGTTAGATACTCGTTCGTTCGTGGCCTTTGCTGGGAGCTGCCTCCTTATGTTCACATGCTGTGTCTTGTGTGGTGGCTCCTGGTCAGAACAGTGCGATGTGAGTGTACCTTCTGGAAGGTAGCATCGTGCCCCGGTTTCTGGACTCACGGGGTGGTCCTGGCAATAGACCCACCCACCTCCCCTGACTGACGGCGCTGCCCACTGGGTGAGGCTGCTCCTCCGTTATGCTCGGCTGCCTCTGAAGCGTGGAGTCAGCAGCCAACCAGGCGGCTAAAGGGCCTCTGACAGGGGGCGCGCACGCCCCTTACTGGGCTTCCTGAGAGATGCTGGATGTCTTGCACCCCAGTCAGCGGCCACCTTCGCGCCATACTGAGGTTCTGGTTATTGGGTCGGTGGGGTCGAGGCAGTGCCCCCTGATGGTGGGAAGGGTCCCCAGGCAGACGACCCTGGCGCGGGTCCTGCACACTGGCTTCTTCGTCCCTCTCTGTGAGCCTCCCACGCTTCATGGCTGGGGGGCAGGAAGCAAAATCGCCTGCCACAACGCTCCAGGCACAAAGTCCGTGTCTCCCAGCACATGCCTCTGTCACCAGCGGTTATTCTCACACAGAACAGAGATCGTACCAGGGAAAGTGTCACATTGCATGTTATTCGTGGTCTTGGACGCAATCATTTTTGCTTAGTTTCTTATGTGACTCAGTCTTTGGCCTATTGTTTCCACTTTGTCTGCACGCCTGACTCTCCTCCCCCCAAGGATTCGTTTTTTTATGGAAAATCAGTCTCAACTGTCCCCTTCTGTATTTTGACCTAAAAGCCTCATTATTGATGTGAACCAACACACTGCTTGCTCTCAGATTCCTGTAGCTTCAAATGGTAGTTTAGTGTTTCACTGCTGTAAGCTGCAGACCATCGAAAGTTTACTTGAAAACATATTAAAAAGGGAAGTTTTCTGGTGGTTGCATAAAGTTTGTTTAGTTCATGGTGATGCTTAAGATCGGTAGTGAAAATAAGTTAACAGAAAATCTCTGGGTACTGTGGTGCCACCTGACGTTCAGTGCTGACATTCTCTTCAGGGACCTGTCCCTGCCTCCCTGACCTAAACAGGGATGATATTTTCGGCCCATCAGCTGCAGCAAAAAGTAAGCCGAACCTTACTGGGGGAGGGGGCGAGAGGGGACGCAGAGGAAGCCTGAAATGCCTGAACAAAATAGACAAAATATGGAAGGCATACTGCTTCTGTTTGCAGAAAGAGCACATGAATCTGAAGTCAGCCGTGGAGCCCTAAGACCTCCAGATCGAAGTCTCAGGGTTCCTGGGCCGACCACCTCCTCCTCTCTCGCATCAGGACCTCCGATTGTTCAGCCTATTTCTGAGTGGCCTTTTTTAATTGCGATTTGATGTCTATATCCTTTCAAATACTTTTCTATTTGAAACATAGTTGATTTACGGTGTTGTGTTAGTTTCAGGTGTTCTGAAAAGTAATTCAGTTATACCTACATATGTATGTACTTTTTCAGATCCTTTTCCATTATGGGTTTTTACAAGACACTGAATAGAGTTCCCTGTGCTGTATAGTCGGTCCTTGTTGTTCATCTGTTTTCTGTGTAGTAGTGTGTATCTTTAATCTCAAATTCCTAATTTATCCTTCCCCTGCCTTTCCCCTTTGGTAACCATAGTTTGTTTTCTATGTCTGTGAGTCTTTCTCCGGCTTGTAAATAAGTTCCTGTGTATCATTTTTTGGATTCCACACGTAAGTCATATCATAAATTTGTTTTTCTGACAGTGAATGGTTCTTGAAAGGTGGACAAGAAAGTATATACGGTATAAAAGGGAGGCCCGTGTTTGCTGTTTGTCATAACTGTGAA